GGGAGGGCTTGAACAAACCGATGGGGGAGGGCTTGACCAAACCGACGGGGGGGCTTAAGGCCCCCCCCCACCGTTGGCGCCGCCACTGGTTACCTTACTAATGTAACTTTCTAATTAAAGAGAGCCACGGATTTGTCATAGAAGATTCGATAACAGGCCATTAAAATTATTTCTATAGATCGAATACAATTTACGTTATTTAATACATTTAAATCAAATTTAGATCGATCTTAATATTGTGATTTTAAATAGGCCTACATGCCAGCAACTAATTATAAAACATAGGCCTATTTAATATTCTGGCCTTTTAATTATGTTGATTAATTATAAAAACAAAAAAAAGTCAAAGATTTTTCTGTGTATATCATTTTAATTTCTTCAAATTCAAACAAATGACAGTTGATTTTCGTGTAATTTTTTTTAATTTTAAATGAATTTACTCACTGTTGTACCTAATCGGATTAAAATCTGTCCGAATTTTGGCCTCTATCGAAAAAAAAGTTTGCCTGAATTTGGCCGTGAGATGGCGTGTGTTTGGCCAAAGTAATTCAACAGAATTCTGTTGAATTGCCTTGGTTTGGGTTTGGCTGTGAAGAAGAATGTTATGGAACGCCGTTACTGCCTTTGGTGGCTCTTTTCCGTTCGGCGCATTTTCTATTCGGCCCTTTTAACATTACGTTCGGTGCTTTTACATTACGTTCGGTGCTTTTTACATTACGTTCGGTGCTTTTTACATTACGTTCGGTGCTTTGAACATTACGTTCGGTGCTTTTACATGACGTTCGGTGCTTTTTACATTACGTTCGGTGCTTTTTACATTACGTTCGGTGCTTTGAACATTACGTTCGGTGCTTTTACATGACGTTCGGTGCTTTTTACATTACGTTCGGTGCTTTTATTAACATTACATTCGGTGCTTTAAAACATTACGTTCGGTGCTTTTATCATTACGTTCGGTGCTTTTGCCGCACTTACGGATCTTTTATCATTTGGTGCTTTTTAGTTTTAGCTTTCGGCTCTTTCATCATTACGTACGGTTCTTTTATCATTCGGTGCTTTATGACCTTTGACATCGGGTCAAGTGGAAAAAAAAAATCAACGGCTGTGGGAACGAGCCTAGTGGAACTCTCTCTTTCTTCGTGCCGTCGATCGTTGACAAGCGAGGAAAGACAATGGCCAAGTCTATTAGTATTGAAGATGCCTTGAAAAAAGTAGACTTGATTCACCTTCTTCCGTATTTTGAAAGAGAAAAGGTAAACTTTTATGCCTAGCTAGGCCCTAGCCCTATGCCTAAGTACCTGGCCCTAGGCATAGTAGCTAGTAGTAGGCATGCCTATGATGCCTAGGCCTAGGCCTAGCTAGGCTTGGCCCTGCCCTGCCCTAGGCCTATCCTATATATTAATATCATTGTCTTTTCTATTACTAAATTAGATATGAAGCAGTGTGTGTGGCGGGGGGAGGGGATAATTTTCTTGTCCTCCCAGTTTAGGCTACGTACAGCCTAGGCAAGGCCTAGCTAGACTAGATCTAGATTCCTCCTAGTCTAGGAGGGTAGGCAGGCTAAATAATATCATAGGCTAGGAGGGTCTAATGGATGCACATTAAATATTTGCAGGCTTCCCAATTTATAAAAATAAAATAATGTAAAGCCCCTAAATAAATAAATATAAATAAATAAATAAAAGTAATACAAATTCGGTAGGCCTAGGTAGTAGAAGGCCTAGGCTAGGGGGCCCTTGCCTGTTTTAATATAAAAAATTGAAGTAATTGACTAACAATCAAAATAATAAAAGTTATAATTAAAGAGCTATAAAGTAACAGAAATATAACAAGAATAAAATAGTTCTGGTATGTGTTTAGGCCCTAATCAGTATTCACACATTGCTTTTAGGCCTAGTGTCAGTGAGTCTTAAATTTGAGATTTTGCAAGAATTGTTTTTTTCCAAAATAGTATAAATAAGTACACATAAAAATAAATTTAACAAGTAAATAGACAAATATAGATAAATAATTAGATAAATGTAAATATAATAAATTCATTTTGATAAATAGAAACAAATAAGAAAATAAATAAGAAAAATGAATACAAGGACTAATTTATTTAAGAAAAAATAAGTATAAATTGATAGTTACTTTTTCTATACAATTATATATTCA